AATTTATTTCCATATTTGTTACTTATTTAAAAAAAACAATCGTGTAATCATACCTTGGCGGCTAGGTTGTACTGCTCCTGTTTGCCCTTGATAACGCCTTGCCCGATGGCAGACACATGCAAGTATTCGCCAAAAACTATCATTATTCATCAAGGATCAACAGTTTTACATATTGGATTAGCAACGGATTCAGAGCCTAAAGTTTTACTCAATTGTATTGCTCGTAAATCAAGCAGAGGATGTCCGGGTAAAATTGCTGAACGCATTAAGCCCAAGTGCCCTATTTCGTTCGATTTCGAAATAAATGAAGAAATTTTGCACTGCCTTAAATCATTCGATGGTGCTGATCATGTTGTCTTAAAAGACGAACTTCATGACATTTTGATTCAAAGTTCTTGCAAACCATGTTCTAATTCAGAGTCTCAGTTTGTTCCTTTCGTTGAAGGTTTTAAGATATGTGATGGGGATACATATGAATTGCAGTGGCCGATTTTATCTGGACACCTAAATAACAAGTTTACAATTACTGAAAATGGCCAGAGCTTGGCGGACATGTGGTCGCATGCCCTAACGGAATACGTAAGCTTAGTTTTAATTTTACTTGATTTGCTATTATTTTAATTTTAATAGTGTTTTTTTTTCTAGTTTAAAATTCCGCATGATCGATTCCCCAAATATTCAGTTTTGCTTGCAATTGAAGACATCTTTGTTAGAAGAGAAGTTCGTTACATCATAGATAAGCTCATGAGGGATTTGAAATTCTCTCGATTCATGGTTCTTCCTACAAGCTACTTGCATATGGGTGGCACTGGTAGTCTTTCGAACTGCTGCATCGTCGATTTGGGTTTTCATAAAACTACAATTTCGTGCCTCGCTAATGGCATATCTCTACTCGACGTTCGTGTCAACCTACCATGCGGTGGCATTGATAGTCTTGAAGTTCTTCGCGCTGCTTTGGAATATTATTCTCGAAAAAATTCCGAGTTATCGGAACTACTTACGTACGTACCATTCATTATCTTTAAGTAACTTGTCAGTATACAAAATAACCGTTTACGAGTTCTAAATGAAGGGAAAAGTGTCCGAATCTGATAAATTTTAAAACCCAGGGGTTATCATGACGAAGCGAATTTCTCTGTTTGGACAGGAAAATTCTAGCTTTACTTGAATTCCTAAATGCCGTGCATATTTTAATATGGAACTTAGTTACTTAACAATACATTGCCATGGGTGAGGTTATTTCTACGATTTATTTCCATAGTCTGTCATGTCAGGTAGTTTTATTAGAACAAATAGTTGAGACTAGCAACGAAATCATATTGCTTATTTCAAATATCTTTAGATATTCCTCGTATTTTGGTGTAGATATCAGTGTTTTAAAGTTGATTGATTATTTCAATAATTTTAATGAAAGTCGCCTAATTTAAGCTTTTTGAACTAATTCTCATTAGCCATCTGGAATGCTTTACTTCATAAGCTTCTCACATATAATTAGAATTGGCCATGACGAGATAGCCATTCCTTTATTTATTAAGGTATCGTTGGTGAAACAGTGATAATTAGATAGTATTTCCGACGTCATATTTTGAAGTATTCGTCTCACATATTGAGAGATCAATACTTCTGGTATGACCAAAGGTTTTTGCTTAATCTGTCTTATTGATTGATTTGTGGGTGCCTTTCCTCTTGTCAATACCTCAGAGCTGTTTGCTTTTATACGTTCTTAATATGACAGAGTTCACTTTCGTTTACCCAAGTGGACTCTAACTAGTAATACCTCTTATACTAGTCATTAAATCTTCTTTAAATGCTTATCTTTTGTTAAAATAGGCTTTATTCAATATTTCAGAGAAACACATGTGGAACCAACCTTTTGCCAGCTCCTTTTGTTGATTTAAATTATTGCAGTCACTTACTGCGGCTAGTCCGTCTATCTTGGACAGTTATATTTTTCCTCGAAACTTAAGATTTTAATTAATCGCAACGGAAATGCCTGAATTTGTAGAAGCTGAGTACCAATTAAGATAAAGAATCGTCTAAAATATGCTATATCTTGTCCCACCACACTAGTAATTATTTATTATCTTTCAGAAAGTATAATCCCGGTTCATACAATGATACTTTACAACTTCTCTCCGCAATGCACGCTGCTGATTCCGATATGGCCATGCGACTTGCAACAGACTCTCTCGATGCAGTCCTTTCTCGGGATATCGTTGTCGCTCTTGATTCAGGATGCACTCTAACTCTGCCAGCCTTGGCAGTTGTTAAAGCGCATTTATCTCCTTTCTTTCCTGTGCAAACCGGTGCTGAAGGTTCTTTAACTCATTCTCTTAAGCCCCAATACCAAGTACACCCGATCGATGCCCATGAGCCCGATGATCCCCTTGACGACTGTTGCTCTAGGAAACGCAAATTCCCGTTCGATGATGAGAACGAAGAATCAGCTCTACCAAAGTCTACATCATCATCAAAATTTTCGGTAGGTTATGTTCTACTTATTGAAAATTAGTATTTGATAATATACAATTTTGCCAGAAAATTTGCTACTATTCCCCCTTAATCGTGACCATGTCATGGTTATATTCAATCTCCTGAACTTTTAGCCCGAATCAACAAGTAGATCTACTGGGTATTATTTGCTCAAGCATTTATATATTTATGTTATTTTTAACCATATTTCTAGTATTTGTCAGTAACAGAATGTATGTATAATTCGCAGGATAGCATTTAACAGGCTAATAGCTCGTTGGATACCTACTATAGAAGCGAATGACTGGAGAGGTTTGAGAATACGGTTAAGACAAAACGCTGTGGGGTATACGAGGAAGAGCTCTTTATATCATCATACTCACTTTTAACTCGTTTCAATTCTCAGAAACCCTCAGAATTCAAGGATCTGACGGAGGCAATAGCATGGTCAATTCGGAATGCCACTGTCACGACCGCTCCTCCAGACACGTTAGAAACTGAAGCAGCACAACAGCAGCAGCCAACAGCGGGCGGTATTTCAGCAGAGCAACCGTCAGCGGCGACAGTCACGAGGAATGAACAACTTCGTCAAAAAATTGCCTCCTGCATTATTTTAGTTGGCGGTGGCGCGGAGGGCATTAGTGGACTTCTTCTTAGACGTGTCCTCACTCACAAATTGCAGTGTCTCTTGGGTGAAGATTTTCATGTGAACATTTTCACTAGACCACAATCTATTCCCGACTCCGCTTGGCAGGGTGCTCGGATTGCGGCCTCGGCGGATTTCGCTTCTGATTTGTGGATTAGTAAGAAGGAATGGGAGCAATTAGGCTCTAGAACCCTTCGAGAAAAAGGAGCATTTCTTTGGTAGAAATTTGTATAAATGTAAAGTATGTGATTGTATATATATATATATATATATATATATATATTTGTTTTGTAAGAAAATGAAACTAGAAATAGTGATACTTTTTGTTTGCTTGGAGTTAGAACGAGGAACCCAAGTTCCATTATTATTCCTGTTTTGGTGGTTCATTCACCCTCGTTAAATCGGGCCGTCGTAAAAGTCCTATTGGGTTATAGTTGGGTGAACTTTACTGAATGGTCATTTGAATATTATTGAGAAATGATAAAGTTGTTGCTCGTTAATTAGCATTGAATCAAGATTTTGTTGGAGTGTCAGGACCATGAATAAGCTGCATCGGTTATTTGCTCTTTAGTTTCGTGCTTATATAAGCCAGGTACTTAACTACTAATGCGATTTTATGTCATAATTTCGGATACGTTACCCAAATCCTTATGCTGATGGTTGACTTTACAGGTGTATACAATAAACCGGTTTACTGAGAGAACATCAGTGCACAACAATTCGAATGGTGCAAGCAGCACGTCACAGAGCTTTGCTTTAAACTATGCCCTCTATTGTACGCATATGTTGACACAATTCTGTTCTGCCTGGTGACATTTTTACTGGTGCTCTTCTAACGGAAAAAATACTGCCAATATGCGCTAAGCCGGAATATTGCTTATTCACTCACTCCTTCCTACTATTGTATCCTATTAGTCTATAGGAAAATCAAATCCTAATTCATTCGGGCTCCGAAATTTACTGCACATGATTAAAACGACAGCAATTACATAGGGGCCTAGCAATCGAACAAACTCAACGTTCTGGTAGTGATTCAAACTACTCATGCCTACCTCTTAGTAGATTTGATATAATGGCTGGCAAATAGTGATTTGAGATTGGATTTCCAATTCAGGGTCTACTGCCCTTATTGTAGATTGGTAATGACCACCGACACAAGGTAAAACCGAATTTGAAAGGAAAAGACGCCACAAGTCCGAAGCCTGAGGAAGGTGTAAAAAATCCCATTTTAGGTTAAGTCTCTTCTGGTAATGATAATCAGACTCACAGTAGATTCCTAAGACATACCAATACATCTACTTCAACATAACCTAGAGACCTTCACAACCGAAAAACAAACTTTGATAAAATAGCAGACAAATGTGCTGTTAATTAGTACCATAATTGTAAAATGTTTCAGACATTGCCAAGTCCAACTTGGTTTCACGGTTCAAAAAAAAAAACTTACAAAATAAGCAATAAGCTAGATTGCTTAAAATTGGCCTCAAAAGTACTAAAAGCCTACTTATAATATTAAATAGATCAAAGGCAAAAATCAAATGTATAAGGCAAATAATCTTTATCTTTTGAGATATTCAGAGCCGATAACTGAGAATACTTCAGGCAATAAGTAAATGAGAAGTAAAATACAAATGGGGGGAGGAAAGAGGGAGATGAATCATCCTAGTGAGTCTCCAAGGTACCCCAACACTACTTGTACGGAGATGGCAAATATTCCAAAGAGGGCAAGGACGACATAGAATGGCAATTGGTCCCCTACCGCACCACCAGCGCCGCCTCGTTGACTGCCATTGGCCTGATTCTCTACACCCGCCTGACCGTTTCGACTTGGGGATGAGGATTCAGACAGTTTTTGCTTTGACTGTAACTCCTGTGTGGAGGAAACACACGAGAGATTAAGCGACATCAAACCATAACTAGCACAAGCGGTTTTCAGCACACGAGTAAATTTATACAATTTAACTAGTAACAACACTCACTAAAATAACATCCAAAGGTCGCCAATCAGTGATTTCAGGAATGAAGCACCACCAGCACAACCCTAACAGATAACAAGCATAGCCCATGTTCGATTACAATCGGTTTATCTAATTAGCCTTGAAGCTGAGACGGGCGTCAAGTGAAGGATAACCAGCAATTTTCGTCAGACCACTACAAAACGTGATATTTATTTTACCAAATATTAACCATTGACCTAGATTGACATCATTTTGGTTCAATTTATGGCCATCGACAGCAACGGGAATTGCCGAAATTGGAAAATTTAAATTTTGAACAGCAGCTAATCACTTTGAGATGAAAATTTTAATTTACTTTTCGATTTTTGAGATATGATGGCGTTTAGAATAAACCTCAAAGTTAACAAAACTCATTTTAGAATCTAACGGCGAAAAGCACTTTTTAAAACTATGCAAGTTTTGTGTGAAGCCTGCTATATTTAAAATACACTTAAACATTGAAAATGAGTGGGTAAGACAAGCACTCCAAATAAGCACTAAATTATTACACATAGACTCATACATACACTACTCGGAGCAGTCGTATATAAAAAAGATTATTAAATATTGTTATAAAAATGCTAAGTAGCGGTTTGGTAAGACTAGCGGGGTATATCAGCCGACGTAGGATGCAGGAAGAGAAAAAAGCGAACACAAATGTGTCAACGTGGGAGAATTAGCTCTGGGTATATACCTATGACAATAACAGAGGCGCCAACACTCAACTCGAAGGTCAGAGATGTTAATAATTTCCAAGCCCATTTGAGAAGGCACCACCTAACTATCATCTTGGATTAGGGCGGTGGCATCATTAGGAATCATTGGCGAAAAATTCGGAATTTTTTCACCATTAAACACCAGTGCGGTGGGCCAATCAAATCAATGGGTATCTAGACAGGCATCGATTCCATGACTTCTTATTTTGCAAAGTAACTAAAATATTTTAATCCAAGCAGCTGTCAAGGAAAAAAGGGTCGTAACAATGTTAAAAATACGAGAAAATTTTGAAGTTTCATTTCCATTTGCATTGCAAATTTACACACCTTTGAAGCAAATAGCTAAGAATTCCATAAATAAGTAATAGAACACTCGGTAGAAAGAGAATTTCATTGAAGTAATCCTCATACAGACGACCAAACAACTATCACATAATAAACATTAAGGATTAAAACCAGAATTGAGGTCAATAGAATAAATAACTAACAGTAATTGCCTTTGATTACCCTAATGCTCCGAAATACTTGAAAAGTATAACCACCGAGAACACAAAATCGGAAGATTACTTGAGAGTAATTAAAAAGAAAGTAACAGTATTAGACAAATCAGAAATTATTAGCTAAGTCTACGGAAAAGACAGCATTATCTATGTTAATAAATCTAATTTTATCGAAATTAAGGCAAAGTGAGTCTTCTATAGTATTAGAAGCTCAAGCAAACTGTAGAAATTCAACAAAACATAATTAAACAAACCTGGAAAATACGTATGGCAAATCTTTGAATACAAAACACAGTACAGGGGTTAGACTCACAGAAAAACAAGAACACGGAATTTACACAATCGATAGATTTACAAAAGGAATAGCAAAATCTAGACTCACGGTGACAACATCAGGAAATAGTTCCACGAATATTGGATTTTTCATGTTATACTCTAGGCTTTCCTTGGCTAATTGCCGTTTTTCGCTAAGAGATGTTGAAACACTCCCCATGGTTGGAGTATCTTCAAGCATAAAACTGAGGAGACCAGTAAGAATCGTGGAAACCGACCAAGCTGGATTCCATGTGTCTGGATGGAAATCACTGATTGAAAGACACAGCCTTGTATTGCACATAAATCGCCCACTAGGAGTGAGCATGTAAATTGACGGAGGTCGAAAAGGATATTCTTTAGGAAAAATTAGTTTTCCATGATAGTATCCACCCTGATAAGGAGAGTCAGGAGGACCAAGAACAAGGTAATGCCATTCAAAAATATTGGAATTTAGAGGATGAGCGACAATAAATGGAATAGGATCACGAGCTAGTCTGACATAATCCTGTTGAAGTCGTTGCACAGCTACTGATAATCCGCCTTTTTGGACAGGAGGCATTCCGGAGCCCAAAATTTCAACCAAGGCTAATAGACAGACAAATAACAAAACACAATTAGCCTTGATCAAAACAAATATTTAATCACAAACAAAAAATTAAATACTGCCTAATACAGTATAATTGATAAATTTTACTTTGAATGCATTTTAAATGCAAGTAATGTTTATTTAAACGTGCCTGTAAATTGATTTTGGATTGGTGCAGCGTGATAAGATTTATTGTTATATTTAATACGATTGATTATATTTTATGCTTAACGATCCTAAATCACTTTATATTATGACTAAACAGGAGAATAGTTAGAATATTTGACAATTCAAAATGTACATTGAACATTTCCCGCAAAATAGATTTCAAAGCAATCTTTCAGGGGGGTTCAATTAAGATACTGAATTAAATAAGTGTAAAGAATGTAGTTTCAGCTTACTTTTTAATATGCAATTTGTTTATTTCCGAAGCTGGGTCTCTTGCTCCAGTAAGACGGAGAGAGTTTCATTTAAATGCATATTTCAGATTTTTGTTACTTGTTGCTAAATGCTTTCCTATTAGGTTCTTACAAACGATGAGTAATCTCCGGATAAATTTGCAGTGAATTATGGTGCACCTCATATTTTAATAATTGAGCACTTTCATCGAAGGTACTTTGTATGAATTTTATTAGTTTCGTGTTTATAAGGTAGGTAATTTCTGCTATTAGGCTAAATTATTATTATCACTTTTTTGTAGTTATAGTCAAGTAAGCTTTGCTGGATGATCGTTTCAAGATTATTGGAGTTTAAAATATATTTCCTGAATTCTGAAACAATATTAATTTGTAATTTTTTATGAAAATATTAAATCAAAGTTTTGTTGGAGTGTTAATGCTGCGAATAATTTGCACCAATCAGTTGCCCCTTAGATGCGTGCTGAAATAAGTCAGGTACTTGATTACTCGTGGGATTTTGTTACATCGTTATTTTGGGCACGTTACCCAAATCCTTACGCGTAGTTCATGTTTATGTGCTTAACTTTCCTTTAGTTTACATGTCCTGCACGAAGATGTTCTTGACCGTTATTTTATTGATGGGAATAAGCTCTACACAAAGAGGCTACTTGTTAAAAAAGGATTTGGAAATGTTCCCTTTTGGTTGCGTAAGATTTTGTCTAATCGCCAGGAATTAATAATGGAAGAATCTATAATTGATTTGGAAAAGAAGGAAATTCTTACATCAACACGGAACTTCGGAGGTCTTTCGAGCTACGCTGTAGGTTCATGGGGTTTATTCATGTACTTATTTTAACTTATTTATTTCAATTTTCCTTCTTTCTTTATTTGGTTCATTTAATTTACTTTTAATAGTTCTTTTCAAAATTATTTTAGGTTCTAGTTGAAAACTGCCGTTACGCCCCTAGTAATAGTGATCCAAATAAAACCTCAATCGCCCGGCATGTGGAGTTAAAGTCATCCCTCGGAACTCGTGTTCTCTATCCTCTTTGGTCATTCCTCAATCGTCGCTACTTGAATTCCGCTGACAAGTCTCTTAAAGGATATCGGTTAATATGCCAACAGTTCGCCGGTGAAATCGGCTCTAATTCCATGTTGTCTACTAAATTGGCAGATCGTCTTAAGGAATTTGCATTGAAGAAACGACCTCGTGTTATGAGGGCTCAGGCTGATTGTGATGATCTCGATTAATGAGCATTTTATGATTTGTATAATAGTGTTTTGTATTCACAAATTAGTAAAGTCTTAATATTGATTTGTAAATTCTATGTTTTTCTGAATCTTTATTTTTGTCGTTCTATAATCATAGTTCTCGTTCAGTGATAGCTCATTTGCCAAATTTGAACCACTGTGATTAAAATTAAAGATTCCCGACGTAAGTTCTTGTTCGATCACGCTCCAAGAATATTTGTATTGCTAGATTATGCTACCGCTGTTATTTACTCGTGTAGTTAGTTCGAATATTTTAGTGTATGTAGTATATTTTTGCTTTATTTCTATCGAAAACTAGAACCAATCAAGTTTTTCCTCACAATTATTAAGTCTAGCGCACTCTTACTCTGAACTTTTTATTCGTGCTGGTAAACTTTTGTTCAGAGCGTCTCAGCCTTGCTCCTATTACCCTATTGTTGAGTAATATTTCCACTGTATTAAGATAATTTACCAACTCCAATCTGCCTTAACATAGGAGAAAGAGTAACTGCATCGGTTGTGCTTTTGGGGTGGTTCTGCCAATTTTGCCGAGTGGGGAATCGCTCTCTTAAAGGTTCCCTGTCTATTATGAAAATATATTCGCCTGCAGCCTAGTTTCTAGCTCCTATCTTCTCTTGACATTGAATGAGGCTTGAATATTTCGAAGTCCAAAAGTATAATGCTGGTGTTTAATTTTCGGAAATTGGGGTGTGCGATAGACTTACCTCCACGTGGTGTACCCTGACAAGGGGTGTGCGATAGACTTACCTCCACGTGGTGCACCCTGGTGGGTGTGCGATAGACTTACCTCCACGTGGTGCACCCTGGGAAACGTATACTCATACGGTAAAAAGTCTATTAACCGGAAGTTTGTGTGCGATAGACTTACCTCCACGTGGTGCACCCTGGGCAGCGTATTTTCTTACGGCAAAAAAGTCTATCACTCGGCTTTCGAGTATACTCATACGGCAAAAAAGTCTATTTGTGCGCCCTGGGCAACGTATACTCATATGGCAAAAAAGTCTATTACCTACGCCCTGGGCAACGTATACTCATACGGCAAAAAGTCTATTAATATGGCTATTGACTTCTGACTTCAAACTACCATCACCCCATTGTATGGCAGTGACTTCTGACCCCACTGTATGTCATATTCGACTAAGGCAGTTGACTTCTCACTTCAAACTACCACCACCTCATGCACTATGGGCAACGTATACTCATATGGCAAAAAAGTCTATTAACCCGTCAGTTGTCTTCTCACTTCAAACTACCATGACCCCCCTATATGTCCTACATTCTCATACGGCAAAAAAGTCTATTAACCGTCAGTTGACTTCTGGCTTCTAACTACCATCACCCCACGGTATGTCATATTCGACTATTTCCACAGTACTCTTCCTACCCTATTCTACCTTTGTGTCTCTCTTTTACATCTTTAAAACACTCTTCTTCCCCCCCCCTCTCGAAATTTGATATTGCTTCTTTTCTGTGAGGCCTGAAGTCACCTAAAGGGCTAATGAAACTATCAAAATGCCTGCCATTTGTTATAAATTAGTTTTCGGAAATTAAGGCGTGTAATGTGCACATTCCAGTGAGTTACATCGATAAGTGCAATTGATCTTCTCGTCAGCCCTATGCAAACTATATAATGCGTTTTCATGATTTTAAATGTTCTTGTTTTATTGAGTAATGGCACAATAACCGCCAGGTTCGTCTTGCAAATAATAATGCCACAAATTGCGACTATAATATGCATGTTGAAAAGAAATAGGGTTTCTGTAATCTCCAAATTGAAATGACATCTCCATCGCTATTTGCTTCGTATTTCTGATTTGATATTTACATGCGGGAGTGCAATAGACTGATCTCTACGTGATCTACCCTGGGCAACGTATACTCATGGGGCAAAAAAGTCGATAAACCGGCAGTCGACTTCTGACTTAAAATTGCCACGACCCGACTGTATGTCAAATTCCACCTCTTCTACATTACTCACCTCAACCCACCTTTTCTCTTCTTTTGTGTCTGTCTCTTACATCTGCGACTTACTTTTCTGTCCCCCCCCCGGCGATTTTTTTGTGACTTTTATGTTCTAGAAGTCAAATAAAGGACCAATGATAACTATCATAAAGCCTGCCACTTGATATAAATAAATATTTTCGGCCATCAAGCTTAGAATATCGTAGATTTAATCTCACTCGTGAACGTGTAATTCAAATCATGACATTTTAATTACAGAACACTATTCAAAAACCCTAGCTTATAAGAGAATCTAAATAAACCTGTTCTTCTAATATTCTGATTTTAATACCCAGTACTTGATTCCTTCCAGATTTCTTAACGTGCCGGCCTTGTTCTATTGTTAGCATTCTTTTACATGAATATAAGTTTTTAAGAATTTTTTTGACCTATTAAAATATATATCTATGTGTGCGTGTGTGTGTGTGTATGTAAAAAGAGAGAGAGTTAGCATTAAATTAGGAAATATGTCAGTGCAGGGTCAATATTCTCCGATCACAGCCACACACCCGTGTATACACACTTGAAGTAAAATTCCCCCTTCTCTCAGAATTCACGTATTGTCGACGAGATGCTGCAAATTGGTGACGAATTGCTTTGGTGTAAGAATACCAGTTCCACCCAAGACGACCTCCCAATTCCAGCCTGTTCCACCGCCATTTTGGAGAACGCGTTGTTGAGGTGCGTCCGTTGATGACGTTCCACCAACTGATTTGCGGAGATGTTTATTTAGGTGACCTTTTCCCTTTAGGGGAATTGCTGATGCTATAGCTGTGGACTTCTCACTGCTTGCCAAACGAGCCTCAATGCACTACAAATAAGACAATGACCATTTAATTCAGTTGATAGAGGGAATTAGTCATTCCTATCTGTTTCAACATTCCCTTCATTTGGAAGCAGACCAAATCTCCTGACGTTTCTCTTTTAAGGCTAATATTAGTAGGTTTCCTCGAGGAAAATTAGAATGAAAACAGAATCCAATACTGAGGTCGCTAAATTAAAACAAGCGAACTTAACGGATAAGTTCTTAAGGGGAAGATTTCTTCCTCAAAATAATTTCATGGTAGATCTAAGGATATTTGATGGTAATGTACTTAAGGTCCTTCGAACCGCCTATATTTATATTTAAGGGTGAGCGATTAACTTACCTCCATGTGTTGCACCCCGGGCAACGTATGTTGATACAGCAAAAAAAGTCTATAAACCGTCAGTTGACCTCTCACTCTATATCATATTCAATCACTTCCACAGTTCTCATCTTACCTTTTCCCTACCTTTGTGCTAGTCTGTCACTTTTACATCTGTGAAACACTCTTCTGTCCCCCACCCCTCTCGACTCTGTTACTTTGATGTTCCTCCCCCCCCCCCCCCTGTGAAACCCAAAGTCAGCTAATGGGCTAATGATAGCAATCAAATCGTTTGTCATTCGAAATAAATAAATAGTTATATTTAGACTAAAATTCCGAGGTTAATAGCGGACAATTGAATTTCTTATATTATTTAAAAAATTGGATAACGTAATAAGATGGATGTGGGACAACCAGACAGTTCTCTTGTGCCTAACTTCGCAGGCTCTACTATGAACCGACTTGAATCAATGCTGCGGAATTTGTAAAAAGTATGCAACGAATTTTGAAAGGAATGGAGGCCATTCTCAACAAATACAGACAATAATAACAAGCCTGGCATTGGAAACGAGATTAGAAAGTTGTTAAAAGCGCAATAGCACATAGAGTTACTAATCTGTAATAAATTCTAAATGATTTCTACTGAATAGGACTGATAGAGCCTAGGGGACCCCTAAGGAGACTTAAGAAAAACACAGTGCATCCTTAAGAAACCAGGCTGTGAAATCATGCTGAAGATCTATCCTTGTACCTTCAAAAAAAACCACATATTAGGCAATATTCTCCTAATGTGGAGAACCTTTAAACACTAACGATAGGCAATTGAATAAAACGATATATCCTATTCTGATACATGCATCTGGATATCTGTCTATTCTTTAATGAAAATTGAATTAAACCTAAATACCAGACTGCCGATCATTAATCACATGCTTGATTGTTAAATGAACCGGCTAAAATACGGAACTATCGGAATTCAATCTCGTCATTTTACCTTTTGAGTGACTGAATAGCAGACCCTAGTTTCGGGCCAAGAAGCTCCACCAACCACAAACACGATGAGTCGAGGACCACAATGATCGCTCATTCGCGACTGACCAAAGATTTGGTTCTCGCCTCCAATATGTCCACTTCCAGTGCGCAGGTGTCCTCTCGAGTCACCCGCAGAGGATCCAGCCGGTCCCTTAACGGATCCTCCTGGTCCACCACCAGCTCCAGAGTTGGGAGCTGGTGAAGGAGCTCGAAAACGAGCAGAGGGACCCCGTATATCCACATCTGATGTGGCAGCGATGGCTGGTGCCTGAAGGAAGGCGCTGGCTTGTGAAAGTGCGGCTTGGGAACCCATGAGGTAGGGGAAGTACTGAGAGTCCAAAGTATCTGAAATACATTTCTGGAATAAGAGAATAAAAGAGGGAATTAGATTTTATATTTTTAAATTGAAATCAAATTTGTCAAGTATTCTTAAAGAGAAGAAATATAGATTATGTGAAGAAAATAGGGTTAGTTACAGTCAGAAAAGCAAACAAATCAATAGTTCCCAAGTTAGGTACTTCTGAAGATAAGTATGCTACGGTACTTTTATTTGATTACGGTGTGACATATTCATTCTTCAGTTGATCAGGAAAAAACCGAATAATAATGCAATTATTATCTCATTGACTCGTAATATGAGTTTCAAAAGCAGAAAAAAACAATTGAGATAAAATTTAATTCAACCGCCCCCTCCCCCCCCACCCCCCCC